TATCGGTCTGGCCAGGGAGGATTTGGGCTGGGGAAGTGTTTAATCAGCGGCTCGGATAACTCAAAATAAGTAAATATTCAAACTTGTCTGCTAGACGTATTTACAAAGTCAACAGACTTTGACCCACCAAAAATTCGCCGTTTGCTCACTTATCCCCTTGTAAGTAAAATGTATTCCCATTAATGATAAATTGAAAATTTGGGCTTTGCTTAAAAATATTTTTAGATATATTTGTCAATTATAATGATATAACTCGGGCCGATACTTTTATTTTAGTGCACTTTTATTTAATTTTTGATATCATTAGGATGCAATATTATTTTAATATACAAAAAATAACTATAGCGATTTTTGAATTAATCATGAACGATTTTTAATGGCACAGTAATATTTTATTTCTGCTTAACCAATATTTTTTAACGCTGACTCCAAGGAATAAAAAACCATAAAGACAATCGGGTTAGGCAAATCGTCCGAGCCATACTGGCACAGACTTGAACTTCATTCCAGACTAGGTCAACCTTTTGTCCATCGCCGTTCGCTCATCGTCATAAACTGCTTCTCTTCCTGCCCGCCGAATCCTATTCTTTTACCCGCCACTCTTGGCCTTTTCCTCCACAATCCAACCGTATCCATTATCCATGCCCCCGGTGACCCCGCCACCTGATTACGTTTCTTATTTGCTTTCTCTCCCCAATCTGCGATTTCCCCCGAGCAGCCCCATTCTATGGGTGGCCGAGTACAAGCTGGCCGAGTACATTGATGGATCGTCGGTGGCCGTGTGCCTGACCCAGGCCATCACCGACTGGACGCTGGCCTTCTTCCTGATGACCATCTCAGTGTTCTTCGTGGTGCCGTTCGTGACCCTGGTGGTGCTGTACGGCATCATCGCCCGGAATCTGGTCTCCAACCGGGCGGCCATGCTGCGCGCCCGCCCCACGAAGCCTGAACTTAGTCTAAAGGCCCGTAAGCAGGTGGTCCTAATGCTCGGCGCCGTGGTGCTGTCCTTCTTCGTCTGCCTGCTGCCCTTCCGCGTCCTCACCCTGTGGATCATCCTCAGCACGGACCAAACGCTACACGATCTGGGCTTGGTGCGCTACTACAGCCTGCTCTACTTCTGTAGAATCATGTTGTACCTCAACTCAGCCATGAACCCGATTCTTTACAACCTGATGTCGACCAAGTTTCGAAGGGGCTTCAAGCGGCTTTGCCAGGACGCTGGGCGATTACTGCTGGAACTGGTTACGTTGGGAAGAAGGAAGGAAAACTCTTCTCGCGGACGCAGAGGCACCTTGTCGCTGGGCATGGGCACTAATACAAACACGAATACCAACTCCTCAAATGCCATGGCAGCCACCAGCTCCAGCATTCTGTCGAGGAGCTCCAATCGCAGGTGCAGCGAGGATATCAGTCGAACCCGCCTCAATATCGAGATGCAGATGCCATGTGGCTGTGATCTGGAGGCTATGGCCATGCTGCACCATTCCACCTTGGGCAAGGGAATGGCCAGGAGAGTTAGTGACAGCCGGCTCATGCCTGTGAGAAACCATCAACTGCGTCGCCACAAGCCGCAAAAAAGTTTCGATGAGGAGGCACTGCAGGAGGATAAACTTAATGAAGGAAAAATCCCAACAAAGGGTCGGGAAAATCTCCCTAGAATAGCAGGAAAAATAGTAAATCTGCCCGAAAATCTCCTCTAAGCGAGATGGGCGTGAAAAATCGCCTTTAACCCGTTTACACACTCGCTTCACTTGGCCGGAATGTGGCGATGACGCTGATCCCGATTCCCATTCCCGCTCCTGGTAAACACAAATCGCATCCTGAACGCTTTTGGCAGGCATAATCGATTTCAGTCACCCGCTGACAGCTGCCGAGAATCCCGAATCGAAGTTGGGCTGCCGCCTTGGACATTTCCGTACCAAAAACAATCAATTTTTCGGGCTATTAAACTCGAATGAATGTGCCAAAGATAAATAACAGCAACGACAGCCGAACAGCACTAAAACTACCACTGCTGGTCAGGGCTAGGAGTCCAGATATGGACCGGCAGTAAGGGGTAAGCCATTAGGCGGCCTTCGAGGAGCAATGGAAGGCAAATGGAAATGGCTTAATATGCGTTTGGGCGAACCATCAGGTCGGCGGATAAACATGATTTAGGTGTATTGAAATAGTTTCCGTAAGCCGGACCGGACAAAATGGCGGCCATTACACGGGCGGCCATCGCCGGAAGTAGAAAAAACTGTTGCCTACTTGGCGGCGGCTCAGATAAAAAGCTTAGCTCAATATGCACACAATGTCCACATGTAAACACAGCTGTACATACACCATACCCTCACACGCACACATAGCCAAATATTAATATTTATATTTGTACGAACATATTTATATACATACATACTCTGCTTATAAATACATGGAACCACACGCACACACACACGAGAGTTCGTAAGTAAATAAATTTTTTATGACAACTCATGGCGGGTTTTTTCCACATTACCCCAATCGGAATCTGTAATTTAAATAATTCTAAGGAAATCGGACAAATGGCCGTCCTCTGTAAATATACTTATTCGTACCATACGCGTAGCTTTTTAATTTGTTTTTGTAGCCCCATGACGTAGACTCCCTCGTTTTGTAGAGTAAAAAGTAATAAGTAACTTGAACCCACACCATTCTGCGAGTATGATGAGTATGAGCAGACGTTGCCGTTTCCGTTTCCGCTGTGTGATTAAGTTGAGTGCTTCGCCCCCGAAACTTTTCCAGTAGTTAGCCGTTGAGTAGCTTTTAAATATTTGTTTGTTTCCTGCCCGCAGCGCGTTAAAACTTTGCAGACAACACCAGTCACTAGTCCCCACTAAAACTGAATATATGATTCTTGCAGTCCCATCATCGCCATATCCAGCTATAGCGTGGAGCCCTACGGGGACGGAACCGATGCTCCCGTTTGCACCACCGCCGCCGATGGGTTCTGGTCGATCTTCTACTTCGTGGGCTGCATCACGGTGTTTTTCTTCCTGCCCTTCGGCATCCTGGTCCTTCTGTACGCGGCCATCGCGTACAAGCTGCTGCGTCCTAACAACGCCTTCCACCGACCGACCTCCCCGCAGCCACAGCAGCCGGCTGGCGGAGCCACCAGTGGCTCTTCGCAGGTGCCCAGCACCAAGGGCAACAGCCATCAGCAGAGCAACGGGATGAGGAAGCACCGCAAGCAGGTGATCTTCATGTTGGTGGCCGTAGTGTCAAGCTTTTTTGTTTGCCTTCTGCCTTTCCGGGCTTTCACCCTTTGGGTGATCCTGGCCAGCGCCAAGGATGTGGAGGGTCTGGGCATCGCCGGCTACTACAACCTTCTATACTTCTCACGCTTCATGCTCTACCTGAACTCGGCCATGAACCCGATCCTGTACAACCTGATGTCCTCCAAGTTTCGCAGCGGCTTCTGGAGGCTGCTGCTCACTTGTCTGGGCCAGCGGCAACATCACCGTTATAGCCACCACTACCATCAGAGGCAGCATCCGGCGGCGGGCGGAAGTGGGCGCAACGTGTCCAGGCGACAGGAACAGGATGCTGAGGAAGGAGCTGCGCTGGCGGGAACGACCAGTGCCCGGCATCCACGTCGCACTCTCCGCCGCGAGGCCACCTTCTTAATAAACTCCATATCCACTTCCTCGGGCACGGATCGCACCACTTCGTCGTCCGCGTGGCGCAGCAACAGTCTGTCCGTTTCCGGTCTCAGCGAACGGGAGCGGGGCATCCTGGGAGCCGCCATCATCGGAACAACGGCAGCCACCGTTACCACTGCCTGTCTGCAGGAACGACGAGCCAGCAAGATCTGAATCCCATCCTAAAAATGCAGCATTCTAATCCCTGCCCTGCCAGCAACCGTTAAAGTATTTAGTTGAATTCCAACAACAAATAGTCATAGTTTTAGAAAAATTTTGTTGTAAAGACTGAAGTACCTCCGAAGAAGTCAATAAACGCAAGAGATGTTTTTGAAAATTGAAACTAATTTTCATCGGGTCATGACAAATTGAAGTTGGCAAGCTTTAAAATAGCATTAACTTTATTTTCCCTATGTGAATAAATAATGTGATGTTTCTTTTAGACCAGAAATTATCGAGTATCTTAAGACTTAATTGGAGTAATGGCGAGACCATTAGGGTTTGCACTAAGCAAGCATTCATCATGAATAATACCTTATACTTAAATTATGCGAAACAAACATGATCTCGACCTTCTCGGGGACCTCAATCTTGTCCAGATGATAGCGCATTTTCCACGAAGATTTAAATGATCCAGTTGAATATCCCAAGAAGTTGGAAGTAAAAGCTTTGCTTTGGCAAAGCGCCCTTTATCGTTTTTTAAAAATCATATTTTTCCTACATTGGGCAATTTATAGTCTCTCAATATTTGTATTGTAAGTATACAGGTATACATATACAAGTATACAGATACATTTGCAATATATCAGATTTACAGAAACTAATAACCGATTTTGCAGTAAACTCAATGTCACTGCATTTCATGTGACTTTTTTAAAAACTATATTCACTTATATATTTTGTGAAGTATCGTAGACATAAGATTATTTAAACATTTTTAAATATAAATATATATATTTAAAAATTGAGTGAAATATTTAAAAATATCTGATTAGGGAAATACCTCGAGAATAAATGCTCAATACAATGCAACTTTAAAATTATATTATATAATTGCTCCCTTCAAACTTAAATTTAACAAAGTTACTTCAGAAATACTCCAGACTCTAGGACTTATTTAAAGCCTGAAATTTTATAAAGTTTTATACAAGTTTTTTCCAGAGATATTACCATTCTCGGCACCACCAAAATAAATTTCAGCCAATTATTAAAATTAATTCGTGAAATTTGGAAAGTAGTACTTCTAGAAGTGTTTGCCAGGATTTTAGGTGTGGGCGCATCTGTTCCGGCCTTCACTTAAGTGTTTGGAATCTTTCCAAAGTCGAGGAATAAAACAAGTCGTTTGTAGGCATCGGTACAGATCGATTTTATTAGACTTAGGTGAAGTTAAGATTCAAATTCGGGCGACAGTGAAAACCGAAACTAAAGTGTGTCCTTGATCCCAAACCTTTCAATTTATATACGCACACGCAATAATTTTTATTAAACTTCATCGCTATGTCGTCATTATTACACTAATTATGTGCCTAAACAAATCCCTTGTGTCACACGAAAATTCAAACACACAATCGCTCCACGTTAATTCTAAAAATGTTCGTTCTTTTTTGGGTTCGAATTACATAAAATTTCAAGATGACTGAGACAAGTGGCGATCACGTTCGCTAGAGATAATATGTTTAGAAAATTGTATTTGTAATTTAAACACATACATATGTATACATAGTGGTAAGTAGTAGCTGACACAAGGCAAGTGTAATTGCTCTTGCCGTCGCCTGCGCTCAATTAATGTGTAGTTAATAGTACATATTAGTTTCGGTATTGTTTCGCGCTGCTGTGATAGGTAACTTCTTACTGTAGGTTAAAGTAATATTATGTTAATTGCTACACCGAATTTGCTTGCTTTGCTCTACTTATGAACAGAACTGCGGAAATCAGAGTGACGGTTAGTATCAGGATCGATGTCCTTGTTGTTTGTGTTTGGTTGGGGATGTCTGAAGTCTGGGTCTGGATCTGGATCTGGTTGGCTACGTACCTAATACATATTTGCTTAAATTGTTTATCGAATTGGATCACGGCTAGGATCATACAAACGCACTACTCGTCATTCCTCACCATTATTGTTATTACAGAATTAGTTATTATAATTACGATTTCGCTTGTTTTATAATTATTGTGTGGTTTCCGTTTTAATTTATTATATTTAAATTTTGTTTAATTGTATAATAAAATAATGATTCACAATCAGAGTTATTCAGCAGCAACCGGATTTGGTGTTTTCCACTGGACGTCCTTGATCGATTTTCACTTTGCTAGCGTTGTCGGTGGCGCTGGACGGCGGCCCGACGCGATTCTTGATCTCGGCCGCCATCGTCATGAAGGCCTGCTCCACGTTGGTGGCGCTCTTGGCCGAAGTTTCAAGGAATGGAATGCCTAACTGGGCGGCGTACTCCTGGAGTTTGGGAAACAAAGGGCCAGTTTAGTAAATACTTGCATCTACGATTCCCCCGACAAAACCAGCAATATACGCACCGCAGCTGTGGTGTGGTCGACTACCTTCTTGGTGGTCAAGTCGCTCTTGTTGCCCACCAGCAACTTGTTGACATTCTCACAGGCATACCGCTCAATCTCCTCCAGCCACTGCTTTACATTGTTGAAAGACTCCTGGTCCGTGCAATCGTATACGACAATGATGCCATGGGCGCCCCTATAATATGAAGACGTGATGGTGCGGAAGCGCTCCTGGCCAGCAGTATCCCACTGTAAACAGACTAATTAGCTCTGGACTGGATTGCCTCAGGCGTCTTTATGCTTACGATTTGCAGTTTAATGGTTTTCCCGTCGAGTTCTATGGTCCTGATTTTCTGCAAGATAAAGGTTTATGAGTCAGACATAAAGAGTTTTCACAACTTTCCGGTTGGCTTACGAAATCCACTCCGATTGTGCTGATATAGCTTTCTGTATATGTGTCATCGGCAAATCGCAGCAAAAGACAGGACTTTCCAACGCCCGAGTCTCCAATGAGCAGCAACTTAAAGAGATAGTCGCTGTGGATTGACGGATAGTTATAGATATAAAAATATGCTGCAGATACCATTCCGAAGCCTATGAAGCTTCATAGAAATCTTAATAAAACTGAGTATACATATTTAGGAAAGTTATACACAGACACAAAGTTTAACATCAGAGATGAAATAGTTTGGTAAATTTGAACGGAAATAAATTGGATGGCATCAGAAGGTGCCATCAGTGAACAATCATTGATTTGTACAAACCGTTTAGAGAGGTTTTTCGTGGGAATGGTTTAGTAGGTTAAGATACTAATATGTGTTTGCATAAAACCGGTTTGGTTTAGGCTTTATCTTATCGTACTATGTCCAACATCAACCCCCAATTGCTGGGTGATGTGCGATAGTGTTTTAATACTCTGCACATATGTATGCTGCGTTTGGAGGAGCCTTTCTAAAGAGTGCGAGCCAAGATCGGTTCAGATTTAATTGCCTTAAAGGGAGAGCAATTAAGTGAAACTAGAATTGCCTTTGATTACGTAGCACTGCGCTGGGGGTGGGAAACGCTCTCCACGCAGGTGACTCATCCGCCCGCCCAGCGATGTTGCCCGTCAACTGGGATCTGACTACATATATGTATGGACTTTATACATATGCAGATTCCGAAAAGAGCAATCTTTTGAACGCGCTTTACATCGCCTCGCCCGTCGACATTTCATTAAAATCCAGCTGAAACACACACTTTTGGTTATGGTTTCTAGATTAGGACGGTTGTTAGGTCTGAGTATTTTTTGTTTTTAGCAAATGGTCTGTTTTTTGGAGTTGCCAACGGGGGCAAAAGGGAGTGGTGTGGGGCTGCTCGATAATGAATGGGAATGAAACGTAGCAGAAATGACGTCGCAGAAAAAATAAAAGAAACTATTTTTTGGGTAGAAGGTGGAAGACCAGTCACAGTTTTTACTCCAGATAACTGCGCATAATTGCGTGTGACGACTTACTATTCCGGATTCACAGATGACATTTTCTGGCTTTTTCACAAGATTATATATTTGCCACGAACAAATATTCGATTTCTGGTCCTGGACTTGTGCTGTTTAGAGCGTTTTTATTCGACTTGCGCGCTCCGAATTACTGGAAATCGACACGCACTCGGCTGGTGTTGTGTTTTGCAGCTCGCTATTGTGATTATTGCAGCGAATTTAAATGGGAAATACGTTTATTTCCACAAATTCGACGGCCGAGAACGAGAACAATGGCGACTGAAAAAATGACGAAGTGGCATTAGGGCAGTGTTGGATAGCGTGCGTGGCCCTCTTTCAACCAGGGCTGCACACTCACTTGCGAGCGGACGGGAGTGGGCGGAACCAGAAAAGAAAATATATGGATTATTATCGCCATTTGACCCCTATCACACCCCATAAAAAAACCATACACTCATAACTTTTGCATACAATCTCTTATGGTACATCATTTGTTTCTAAACACGGCTTTTAACATTTGAGTGTTTGCATAGAGAACACATTAAAGATAATAATAATAATAATACGCGTAATAGTATATGAAAGAAGATTCGATAAGCGGGTGTAGCGCCTGGGGGAATGCATCTGGCAGATCCGATATATGAGTTGGGCCGCTACTCCAGCGAATTAAGCGTGAGCAGCTGCTTGAGCACCTTCGTCTGCGAGGTCTCTCGGATTTCTCCCGCCAGGAACATCTCGTCCACCACACTGTACACCTTGTAGAAGTTGAACACCAGATCCAGCTCGCACACGTTATGGAAGTATTCGTTCAGCACCTCCACGAAGTTGTGGATGGCTTCCAGATAGCACAGGTTGTTGTCGTTCACGTCCACGCAGATGCAGAAATACAGACCCGCATAGCGTCGGTAGACGATCTTGAAATTGCGGAACTACGAAGGCAAAAATGAGATAAAGGGGTTCTCCTATAGGACTTAGACTTGATCCCACCTCCACAAAGTTGGTGTGCTTCGCATCGCGCACTGTGACCACGGCATGCACCTCCTCAATCAGTTTCTGTTTCTCGTCGTCATCGAAGTTCATGTACCACTTGGCCAGGCGAGTTTTTCCAGCTCGGTTTTGTATAAGTATGAATCGTATCTGGGCGAATTGAGGGTTAAATAGGGGTCTATGCTTATAGCTGGCTATTTGCTCACCATTTTTAGAGAAATTTGTTAGACCGTTTCTTGGCTATTTACAACTTTTTTTTATTTCGACAATGGGGGCGAAAAACTGATTATGAGCAAATTGTGTATCACTGGGAGCAGGGCTACCACTACTGTTCCGGAACAGCTGTTTCCTCGGCAGTGCTGCAAGCTGGTCGCGGAGAAAGCGAACGAGTTGGCAGCCCCGCGTGCTGTATTACAAAGATTCACTTTCATATTTGTTTGGGCCCCCAGACGAAACTAGTCATTTACCAAAAATGTTGGCCTCTCGCTTAAATCTCCTGCTGCCCCGCTTATCCTGGCTGCGCGGTTGCTCTACGACAGCGGTGGGCCAGCAACAGCAGCGCCAAGTTCCCACGGAGTTCTCCGTACACGACCCTTTGCAGGCTCACGCTCTCAAGGAGCAGTGCATCCTGGTGGACGCTAACGATCAGGCCATTGGGGCCGCCTCCAAGGCAGACTGTCACCGAGTGCATCCAGAGACGAAGGATGTTAAGCTCCATCGAGCCTTCAGTGTTTTCCTCTTCAATTCCCAGGGAGAGATGCTAGTGCAGAAGCGTTCGTCTCACAAGGTGAAATCTTGAAGAATGTGTATTTTACAAGGCCCATTACCAACTCTATTCGTAGATAACCTTTCCCAACACCTACACCAACGCGTGCTGCAGCCATCCACTTTACGAGATTGAGCAGGAGCGCCAGGAGAGCAACGCCCTGGGCATCCGTGTGGCCGCCCAGCGGCGACTCAACTACGAACTTGGCATTCCTACAGAGGAACTGCAGCCCCAAGACTTTCGCTACCTGACCCGCATCCACTACGCGGATACGGGCGACGGCGTGTGGGGCGAGCACGAGATAGACTATATCCTGTTCCTGCAGAAAGACGTAACGCTGCGCCCAAATAGCAACGAGGTCAGTGAGGTGCGTTACTTGCGGCGCGATAAAATCGACGAGGCGGTGGCCAAGTTTAGTGCCCCGCTGACACCCTGGTTCTCTCTGATTCTGCAGCATAGATTAAAACTCTGGTGGGACAATTTGCACCAGCTGGAGCAATTTGAGGACTTGAGTAATATTCAGCGCTTTTAAGTGTGCTAACCAACCAAAAATACACGTAATGACATCTCAAAGCAGGCTTTTGTTCGTTTGGGTTTCAAATTCGCTTTATTCAAATGGAAAATAGTGTGTGTCTGTGTGCGGACAATGGGCACAAAGCGGATTTTATGCAACCTCCGCGGGTCGATCAGTTCAGTACAACGCTTTGTATATGCAAATATAACAATATATAGTTTGTATAGGCGCACGATATTCAATATGTTTCATAGCCTAACTAATGTGTTTGTATGTTGAATATCATATAAATATTTAGCTTTTAAAATGATCACATTACGTTTCTCATAATCATCATCATCGTCATCGTCGCAACAAGAATAAATATGTACAAAAGTACGACTACAGGCTAACAGAGACACGAACTAAAAGTATTGATTCTAGCCTAAATACAAAAGAAACAAACAAAAGACAAGCTGCAGCACTTAACATTTAAATCTATCGCTTCGGGAGCGAGTTCGAAGCGCGCTTCGAGGCGTGAAGTGCCGACCCCGTGCGAATCCGCAGTCGACGTTCACGAGGCACCACCTTGGCACCGTTTCTCTGGGTACTCGAGTAAATAAAGCAATTGCTTGGAAATTCCAACAACTTACAGCTAGACCCTGCAAACTTCGATCGATAGTTTGCACCTTTACGGCGGGGGGTTAAATATATAGTTATATACGTATACGTACATTTCGCATGCAATGGGGGTCGTATTTGTGGATGGATGTATGTGTGGGGATCAGGATAAGCGCTTCATCCTGAATTCGATTAGTGGTTAAGGCACATTGGTATGAGTCTATCGTGAAACTCAGGCTCGTTCAATCTATAGAGTTGCGGGCTTAAAGCTGCTGGTTGGCACACTTTGTCGTTCAGTTACATGCGGATCCGTTTCCGTTTTTTAGGACAAGCCAAACAGTTTCAGGGCATTAAAGGCGGTGGCCAGAGCCACCTCGTCCGGTGTTTTTTTCATGAAGGCAGCTATCATCTCCACAATGGCGGGCAAACTGCACGGCTCGTTGCGTTGGAAGGTACAATATCTGAAAGTAATATTAGAAAATTGACCTATTATAGGACATGGTACTTCGCCCACCTGTGTAAGTACAACAATGAACGTTCGGTGATGCCAGTCTTCACGTGTTGCGGCAGCTTGGAAGCCCTTGTGTTTGGGTACATGAACGGAGCATCCGTCTCCACCAGCAGTCTGTCCAGCGGCAAAGTGCCGTCCTCCAGCAGGCGGCGGACGCCAGTATCAGATTTGTCTTTGCACAGGTAGCCCGTCAGGCTGATGTAGAACCTGCGCTCTAGGTACTTAAGCGCCTCCTCGGCGGTGCCCATAAAACCTCTGATGATCACAGGCGGCAGATTCTCGAATCTGCGTGGGGAACAGTTGAAAACTTTGTAAACCAGATCTACGGCTCTTACTTGTCAAGTATTTCGAGTAGATCGAGCTGAGCCGACCGCTCGTGGATCAGCAGAGGTTTATTTAGCCGGACGGCCAAGTGCAGCTGCTTGGCAAAGATCTGCTTCTGGGCGTCCGGTTCGGAGAAGTCCCGCTGGTAGTCCAAGCCGCAGGGCCCGACCGCCACGCACTCCTGTGCCTGGGCGATGTGCTCCAGGTCGAACCACGTGGCCGGCTCTTCCACGATGGACTTTGAGTCGTGCGGGTGAATGCCAGCAGTTGAGTAGATTATGTCGGGATAGATGCGCGAGAGGCGCAGCGCTTCCTTGCTCGATTTGACCGAAGTTCCGTGAACCATTAGTTTCTGAACACCTGAAAAAGGTAATGCGGGAGAAAGTTAGTGCAACGTGCACTCGGCTGCCGACTTATGTAGAAAGAGAAAATATGTGACTTCTGTCATATATGTACATCTACCTCCTGCATATACACATTTATTAAGCTTTGTTTAAGAACTGAAGTATATGCAAAGATGGTTGTGTTGAAGGCTTGTTTACTTCATTTCTGGATCTCAAGCAACCTTTTCATTTAGTCTGTAGTACCTTCTGCAAGGGCACATACGTATATCAAAACAGGCACACTTGTTGCTCGCCAATAGACCGACCTTCTGGCTGCCTGTGTGTTTTCGCAGCCTCGCCCCAAAACGAAGACTCTGCCCAGGCATATGCATATGCCTGCACATGTAGTATCTGTATGTCACACACAAACCTGCGTCTCTGGCTCTTTGCACCACGGAATCCAGATCACGGCTATACTTTTTGTTGGTCAAATTCGCACCCACGTCGATGACGATCAGGTTCTCAAAGCAATGTTTCATGTCCAACTCCAGCTGATCCTCCAGCAGCGGTGCCACGGAGGCCACCACCGTCTCCTGGGCCTTCTGTTGATTTGGGTCCATCTTCTGGATCGGATTCTTGGCTCTATTATCGACGAAAATAGCTTATGACGCAGGCGATGGATTGCTGGGCTGCGACTGTGTGCGTGGGTAATTCAATTAGCTTGTCTTTGGAGAGGCAAGGAAACGCGACGGCAGTGAAAGCCGTGAAAAGTGGCACTACTGAATTTGTTGCAATTTGGAAGAATTTACCAATTCGGCAATTAGTGGTCTAAAAGTTATGAAATATTAATCTAAAAAACAATCCCGACACGAACTACAACTGCTGGCTAGAGTTGAACAACGGTTGTAGCACGAGTCAGTAAAGGTATTTCACTATGCTTGCAATCGATAGTTGGAATCGATAGCAAGCACCAAATTATATCGTGTTTGAGTTTAAATTGTTATCAAAATCAAACATAATCTAATAACGTACTGCCCAATTAATTTAAATTAATATTTTTATTTTAGTTATATAGTAGAATTTAGAACATTATTTCATCATTATATTCTTTCTAAGTTTACTTAACTACTACAAGTGCAATAACTGTACAAGTGCAATTATTTGTTTGTTTAGTTGGTCCACGCACAGCTTATTTCAGTTCTTATTAAGAAACAAAGGAAGGTTTATATTAGTTCGCCGACGAGTTTGAAAGTGAACTCAAGTTTCTTAACTTGCATGCAATTTGATATTGCACCTGCTAAATCCTGTGTTCTCTGTTTGGGCATGCCGGTGTTCCAACCAACTGAGTATTTCCGTATCTACAGTGTTCTTCCATCCAGGTATTTCCTACGGTTAACTTATTTTGGGTTCCTTTGTTGATAAGCTACTGTCGCAGGACTTTAATTCTACAATGAACATGTCCATGTACATTTGCATCTAGAATGGCCGATCATCCTAGTTTCCCTAAATCATAATGTTTGTACTTCGCACTATCCTCGAGTGATGAGCATCGGAGCATCTAAATTCTGATCAATCCAAGAACAGGTATCCAGTACCTGTTGCCCATTGCTGACATCTTAGGAGCGACAATGGATTAAGTTCAAAACGGTTCTCCCTTCTGGCCAGGCCCACTACCATCACTCCCTTGGCTATGATCAGTACCCGACAGCTGGCGCATCCGATCCGGCGCTGGACGACGGCAAACCGATTCAACCATAAATCATGGCGAGAGTTTTGGATAAATTACTGACTCTCTCAGCAGTTACCCCAAGTTTAGTGACTTACCTTAAATGTATTTAGACATCCATCTCTTGGCAGTTCTGTAGGTATTGGGCAAAACTTTTAAATTAAATTATTCTTATCTATCTTATCATACGTGTTATCTTTTGGGGAAATTCTTAAAATTATAAGCAAAATCCTGGGTGGGGTCGATTGACAACTTAATAGATAATTCCTCATTCAATTCATTTGAATTAATTTAATTTTCTGGTTTTTCTGGTATGAAAAGATCATTAATTATTCCGGAATAATGCGGGTGTTTGTCTAGGTAAGATTTGATAACATATAATTATTCAAAATCGCATGATAAAGATTTATTACTGATTATTAATAATCCCGATGAACGAACGGTTTTGATAGAAAGGCAGTTTGAAGGTTGGTGTAACTAAAAACCAGTTAAGCACGTTTTCTAAGCTAAGATAAAAGAGCCCCCTTGAGTGTATTTTTCTCTTAATTAAATTTTTAGATTTTTTATTTATTTGCACTGCTACTGAAAGGTATTTGCGTAGTTGCACAGGTAAAGTGCATACTTGGCGTTCGTATCAAAGCGAACACTTCAAAACCTTTCCCCAACCGGCTTGATAATCAGCTCCTTTATCTGAACGGTTGGGGGCGTCTGGATGCAATAGGACACAGCATCGGCTATATCCTCGGATCGCAGCATGGGCATGCCAGTGGGTTGCTCCCAAGAGCCGGTTTCGAAAATTTCGGTTGCAACGACACCAGGGCTGATGCTCTAAAATGGGCCATACATCGTTATCAGTACTTATGCGAACTTGACGAGCGAGGTTCACTTACCGTAATCTTAGTTTGGGTACCCTTCTTGTTGAACTCCTGGCGCAGGATTTCGGTCAAGGCGGTGATCGCGTGCTTGGAGGGCGCGTACATGTTCAGGCTGAAGCCCTCCACAGCCGGAACTGAGTGGCCCACCACACTGTTGATGACCACCACATGACCGTCGTTCACCTTGCGACGCTGCAGCGATAGGAACCACTGGCGGGTGCACCAGGTCACTCCCAACACGTTTACGTCCAGAATGGCCCGCACATCAGCGGAATTTTCCGGGTCCGTAATGTTCATTTGACGTATGATCCCGGCGTTATTGACAAGCACGTCGGCACCACCCAGGGTGCGATCGATCCAAGCGAAGGTATCGATGACCTGTTGCTCATTGCTGACATCACAGGCACGGGTGTGGAAGCGAGCAGCCTGATCGGCGGGCAGGGAGGACTTTATGTCCTGGAGGACCTTCTCTCTCCTGGCCAGGCCCACTACCACCATTCCCTTGGCCACCAGATCCCGGCAGCAGGCTGCTCCGATTCCGGCGCTGGCACCGGTGACTACAGCAACGCGATTCAACCAGCGGTTCATGGCAAGTCCGTTCGATCTGATATTCAACTGAAGACTAGGTACAATCTCTACTACTTTTTACCACTCAACGATGTTAATCGGTTATCAATAGGCGGAGCTTTTGGTGAAAAGTTTAAGCACAGATAGCTTCAAAAAATCTAGTTGAAAGGGGTTTTCAAGAGCTGATAGATTATTCAAATCGCAAGTGGTATTCCTTCATTTTCAAGATAGCGGCATCATTACAAATTTTAAATGGTATCTATGGATTATATAAACATTGTTCAATTCAGTATTGCCCAAAAGTATTCTACATTACTGGTGTTTTTTATTATTCAGGCAAAGTTCTAGAATATTTAGAGCTTGTACTCTAAATCGATTGTAGTCCATTTGGAAACGTAAATGATGCTCCAATTAAGGTAGTACCACTTTAGTTTATTTGAATTTTTATTTATTATTTCTGCTAACATGCATGTATCTTTGGTGTTAGTTCTATGCGATAAATATACATATATATGTATGCATTAACACATATATTTACATATATAATATTGTGTTGCTATTAATGCCATGCTTTCGGTTTAACTGGTTAACGCGCGATCTCTTTTTAAATATTTTATGTTATTTTGTTTTCCGCATCGGTAAATAACGAACATAATGCACATGCATGTGAGTATGGGTATGCTCTACGTTTTAAAACTTTAAAACCTAAAGTTCAAATTGGGGTATTTGATAAATATTACTTTGCTTAAATCAGCCTGCTCTCAACTTTCGGGTTCTTTCTTCTTTAAGTGGAATCGAAAGCGGGAAAGAACATTCTATTGCGCGCCCTTCGTACTTGCAGCATATAATATGTATGTATTTATATAAATGTAATCTCTTGTTTACTAGACGTTGTTGTTCGCTGCTGTGGATGCTTGCCACATACTGCCAGCATATGAGTCGCTAGGCCTATATAAATATATGTTTGTATATTTGAAATATATTATTGATATTCCTCATTGTAGATTCTTGCCTTACACTAAGCGCTGGAGTTTTGATCGGGCTGTGCATGTGTTCTACTTTTCCATTTTTGGATCGGGTTCTTAGCTTCCCAAGTCTGAGCAGAGATCGATGAGTACGACTAAAATAAATCTCTGAACAGATGTCCTCGGTTACACCAAAGCCAATCAAAACTCTGCCGATCAGCGCCTAATGCAATCGAAGTATATAAAGATATATAACGTATGCTTTATACTTGATATATTCTGTATACATATAAATATTTACTTGTTCGTTACTTGACAGTTATAAAATTTTGGCTAACAATAAAATTGCATAGTTAATCGTTACGTTTAGTTTCATAGTTTTACCATTGATTCTGCCTCCTTGCGCTATCCGTTAAAATTTTATTCCGTATAGTTTAAAGTTTATTGGTGTTTAGTGTTTAACGAATTTGAGTTCGATTATTGTTTGCTTCTTTGTTAGTTTGTAGTGATACGTTTAGTGCGAAATCTTTGACTGCTTTGTGCTCACTTAGCGGACAACCTACTCCTTCGTCCTGCTCTAATCCTAATCTAGCCCTAATCCCTAGACTACTCCATCCCCCTAATCTACTCTGTCCCATCATGGTCAAGTGTTACTTTGTGCGCGTTCGATGCCTTCACTACCTCTGCTGCCTCTGCCCAGCGATACCGAAACATCGAATTATCGAAATAATCGGCGATTGACCGATCACAAAGCTTGGATGGTGTGCCAATCGCTATCATTTTCACCCGCCTTCCGGTGCTTGTCGTCTACTAATCCACTACCCATTTCCGCTGCTGTGCCATTTCCGCTGCCGCGACTCAGTTGTGTAAAATTCTAATAAAATTGATTATTGTTGTTTGATAGATACACGGCGTACGCGCAGACATACGCTTGTATTGCATATTGCTTATTCCAAAATCAATATAAATATATATGTATAAATTGTAAGAATTTCCATACAAAAATTTAGTAGGTACGTTACTTTAGACCTCGGTGTTATCTCATTTTGTTTTGTTTTCGTTTCTCAACTATGATACTGGACTTGCCCGTTTCACTCACGTTCGCCGTCGTACAAAAAGTTTAGCTAAGCTATTATAACCCCATCGATTCCCACGTTGTTCCGCCCACTCTTAACCAAACTTTTCGATATAGCAAATTGCGAGTACAAACAATCTTAAAACTGCGTAACGGTACATACAGGTATTATATAGCCATAGCCAAGGAGTAGTTCCTATTTTGTGTAGTACCTCTGAAACACGTATAAAACATCTATTACCTATTAGGTCTGTGGGGAGTGTCTCCTGTGTATTCTGTATTCTGTATTCTGTGGTGTCTGTGTGGCGTGTCTGTTCCTAGCTAAGCGATCTCTGATTAGATATACCCACCCACAATTGGTCCATCCCGATGTCCGTCCTCACTGGCACTTCATCCCGTCCACTACTCAATCCAACGACGATGACGGATGTGTGCGGCACTGCCTAGTTACTGATTCTGAACCCACCAGCACTGCCGACTTGTATCACAATCGTAGGCCTATCACTCGACTTTCATTCGATCCTTGTCTGACTATCTGCTAAAGTTTCCTTTGTGGTTCGGTAAGTTTTTGGTATCGTTGCTTTAGTTTGTATGTTGGGTTGGGTCGATTTGTTAAGCAAAAAGTCCTAGGGGTTTGTGTGATTCAAGAACGTATTAGAGTACACCTTATTAACGAAGGTAAACCATCGTAATTATGCTTTAATATTGCTGGATTACATAAACCCCTAACGTAGTTCATCCCACTTGTTCAACTGAAACCGACCCAAACAAATGGTGGTTGGTATCTATCTACCAGAGTTAGGAGCTCGTTCAACCCAATGTTGCCTGTTCGTAGAGATCCGCATTCCTGCGAGGGGAAGTAGAACTGCCGTAGCTGAGCTGCGAGTCGGTCTTCTTCAGAATGGAAACGTGGTGGGTGGGTGCATCACCCGTGCGGTTGGCCATCAGCGAGTCCTGTTTGTGGAGCAGCCCGCGTCGCTGGTCGGCGAAGGAGATGACCGAGTCCTGCTTGACCAGTTGATGGCGCCTTTGCTCTGGTCGCTGGTCCACAAACGAGATCACCGAGTCCTGCTTCACGAATTTCTGCCGCTTATCGAGCAGGGAGCTCGGGGTGGCGCCCTGTCGCCGACAAACGTCCATCGAGACGCTTTCCCTGTCCACCAGTGTGTCGTTTAGCCCGTGTCCTGCCGCACGTCGAGCCTCCATGTAGGACACAATTGAGTCCTGCTTGGACAGGGACACCTTGGAGCCATTGCTGTCCTGCTGGCAGAGGGGTCGCCGGATCCCGGAGGCATCGCTGCAGGAGCTCTCCTGCTTGATGAGGAACTGACGCGATCCGTGAGAGTCCTGCTTGAGCAGCATCTGCTGCGACAGGTTGCTGTCCTGCTTGAGCATCATGTTGTGGCGCCGCAGCGAGTTGTGCTCGTAGATGTAGGACACCGCGTTGCCCTTGCTGCTCGGACTCTTCCTCGAGCTGTTCTGGTGGTAGTGCGATGACTTCCGGGTGCTGGTGGTGCTGGAGGCGATGGCCACGTTGTCGTAGTACCTAAAATTCGCAAAAAAAATAGAAAATTAAATTTTTTCACATTAATTTTTTAGGTCTATAAATATTTATCTGCATATATAAGGTCAATTTATTAAGGAATGAACTAACCTAAGGCGTCCACAGCAGCTGCGCGACTTGATGATGGCCGCAAATCCGCGTCTGTACTTTTTGTTCACTGAGTACAGAATGGGGTTGATGCAGCTGTTCGAGGAGCCCAGCCACTGGGCCACCGGCATCACCTTCTTGAGGATCTCAAACTCCTCCTGCGAGATGTCCGAGCCGAACTTGATCCGCGCAAAGATGACGTAGAGCGGCAGCCAAGACAAAACAAACAGGATCACCACGGCCACCAGCATCTTGATGACCTTCACCTTGCTCTTTTGCTGCATGCGGTCCATTTGGGCGTCCTTGGACTCGCCGGGGATGGACCTCGTGGAGACCTTGATCCAGATGAGCACGTAGCAGAGCGTGATCAGGGACATGGGCAGCAGGTAGCAGGCCACCAGGTTGGCTAGCAGGAAGTACAGGTTCCCATCCGTGCCCGGGGGCCACACTTCCTGGCAGAGGAACTGCGGCTGCGAGTAGGCCGAGACCAGGGCATCGGAGAAGACCTCCTCGGCGGGCACCAGGTCGAAGAAGAGCAGCCAAGGGATGGTGGTCACCAGCGCGATTACCCATATGCCAATTATCATGATGCGGGCACGTCGCTTTGTCATCTGCTTCAGGGGCCACCAGATGGCAATGAACCTGCAAGAGGGGAGTCCCAACAAAGGGGATTTTTACCAAATAGTCAAAGAAGGAGTCTTAGTAGGAGTAGGAGGAGGAGGAGCTCCGGCTCCAGATGCCGCTGACGGCTCTGAGCCTTCAAGGATAATGGCAATCATCAAGCTGTCGAGTCGCGTCGAGTCGAGGCGGCGATGACGATGACGACACCGTTTCAACTAGGAGGAGCAGCTCGGCATGCAAATATCTCCGCTGATTAATTCGCACACGCAGGATGCCAACAGCCATCCTTAAGCCTTTTTCTGCTGAGTGTTCGCTTTCCAATCTCGACTATTGAACCCGCCTGCTGCTCCTGCTGCTCCTGCTGATCCTGGAGCAGGGGTGTCATTTTTTATTCTGCTTGCCATAATGAATTGTAATTTGAATAAGAGCTGCGAGGTAGCGAGACGAGTCGCTATGGGGCCAGCAACGAGTTCAGCATTTTTCATTTAGCTTAGTGCAGCCGGCTCATTGTGGCGCCCGCTCAGTGGTCATAGACAAGACTTGTCCCGACCACCCAACTGGGTGTCTGCTCCTGGCCCGAATCATGTAATTACGTGCATTGTGCTCGTATTTTGGACTTGGACTTTGGGTCGTCGCCTGCGTCTGTCCGCCAAAACATTTGGCAGATAACACAGCGGTAATTCCATTAGAGGGCGGCCAGCCACTACCCCAGAATCCTAGCCCTCCGACTCCGGACTAAAAATAGCCAGCTAAACAATGTGGCCGAGACCCTCATTTCGGCGAAAAAAGGTGGGCGGCCTGGGGCCAACAAAGCGGTCCGCAAAGCCAATAATCAAATTGTCATAACGTTTATTTATAGGAGCAAACCAATTGCATTTGCATAATTTGCCCATTGGACCATACGGTCATAAATCAGGCGAGAGCTTAATTGAGTTCTTTTGGGAAAACAACGCACTCGGAAAAAGCATTCACCAGTTTTCTTTGGTGCAGTCTAATAGAATCTAAACCTCGAATTCGATGTTGAAACTTAGTCAAATCATATTGTCTACACTTTTGATGGTCTAAACTATTTTATGATCTTTAAAAACAAAGTTTTGCCTTATTCGTTTACGACTTGTTTATGATTGTTCACAAATAAAATAGCCTTATAGATTAATCTAAGTTTTTATGTAATTTGGGAAGACTGCTGGCTGAAAATGAAATTACCATTATTATTTTAGTAATCACGGTAATTGTTGTCTATCAATTCCGCTGCCGAAAGCTCTAAGGACGTCAGTTCAGTATGATTAGCATATTTATTAGGCCAAATGCTTATACATAATGTCTTGACAAAATCCTTTTCAAGTACAAGACTGCGAAGCACTTCTTCCGAGTACAACTAAAACCAAGTAGTTGATATTTGCGCCTTTAAAGCACTTAATAAGTCGCAAGTGTATTAATTTAATATTTGCCACACAACCCCGTGTTTCTGTCTAGATCCACGTGGTTTTATGGCTCTTATTTCGCTTCCTATTGCGGTTACCCATACGCACTGTTGACATTTGCGAGGAAGACACTAGCGCCGTAAAGACACAACAATGTTTGTAAGCGGGTAAGCTTTCTTATAGACTTTATGATTATACGCAATCTAGCTATACACCCCCATACGTATTCAGACAAGAAAATACCCTAATTAAATGACAGTGGCATAAGTATAAATATAAGTATAAGCAAGTGATAAGCTAAGTCGAAGGGGCATTACGGGCCCAGCATCCTTAGTCCATGAAGAGATTTAAGTTTCATCTTACAGATAATAAATCTTAAATTTCGATTCAGTTTACGATGGCTCGTAAAAGGAGAAAACCACAGCAAAACAACTGGATAAACGGACATCGATGTAGCTGGACTCGCACTTGGACTTTGACTTGGGAGTGGATGAGGATATGGACTTGGATGGCTTGGCATTAAGCGTGGGAGGTGGCTGACATGCGGGCCTGTGGGTGACCAAACGATCAAGGGAGGCGCTATGCCTTTGTCCCGCTGGCTGAAAAATGGCAGTGGCAGAAATAGAAGCAGAAACAGAAGCCTCTGGGCGGAACTCCTTCTCTGATTGTGGCCAGAAATTGATATAAATGGAAGTGCACATAAAGCGGCGGGCGGCTGGCCACTCTTATTGTCCTTGGGGCTATGACTGGCACATGTCGAGGGACTACAGCTTCACTTGATAAATCAGTTGACCGCGACATTCGCCGAATTTATCACTTTTTATGCTTTATGGGCCCGGAAACGCAGGGGTGACACTTTGATTCTTGGCGGTCAATCACCAATGGTATCAATATTATCGCTATGGCGGCCAACAACATTCTAAGGCAATTGAAAATGCACAAAAAACGAGAAACATGAAATTGATTGTAAGCAGCGCCTAATACGGACAAGGTGAGCCGTAGAAGCATATGATGAACTTGATCTTGAGACGACTGCTCCACTGACTCTCCTACATAACTGCCTAACTGCCTAACTACCTAGCTGCCTTACTGACCAGTTTTCCCGCAGCCGATTGCATTGAGTGGCGCTCACTTTCGGAACGGTCGCCTGGTGCAAATCCCCTATAAAAGCCGCACTCGGAGCTCAAGTTGTCACCAGTTTACAATTAGAAATCATTAGCCTAGCTGCCTTCCCTACTTCAGTTATCCCGCCAAAAAACACCGCCTCAAAATGTTCAAAGTTGTGAGTATATCAGTGTGCAGGAAAAGTTCTAAAATGTTTAAGTCCAAGCATAACTATCTTTCTCTATCGCATGTTACAAAACAAATCCTGACAATAGTTGTTAGTAGTTGAACAAAAATGCAAGCAATGAATAAATATTCATTCAAATTTGATTCATTTTCACATCAAGTCCATATTAAAACACTTTAAAGTTTGTATTAGCCACCTAGTTATTTGTTAGGATCGGTTTTCCCTACCCAGAACGAGTTATATATGACTTAAAGTCTGCGACAACTAACCAAATGCACTGCCGAGTGGCAGCCACCTGCTGCTCCGTCTAATGCCACTAATCAGGCTAATCCGTAAACTCTGATCCGCCGCAGCTGTTCGTTCTCGCCGCCTTCGCCGCCTCCCAGGCTTACGCGCATCCCGGAGTGGTGGCCGTAGCACCCGTGGTGGCGCACCCGGCGGTGGTCCACACGCCCATCATCCATCATGGAGCTCACTCAGTGCACTCGTAAGGCCATTCATTTCCAATCTGCTTATCGCACCACCGGGCCACTCATTCATTTCTTTTCTCCCCTCCCTCTCCCAGCCATGTTGTTCATCATCCGGCAGCCGTCAAGGTCATCACCCCCGTCGTCCACAAGCCCGTGGTGGCGGTGCATGCCGTCAGGCCGGTGGTTCCCCTGGTTCCAGTGCATCATGCCGCCCCCGCTGTTGTCGTGCATCATTAACTGCAGTGAATACGGTCCAGTTTCAACCCGTCTCCCTCTCCCTCTCCCTTTCCCGCTCCCGATCCCGTTCCCCACCAGACCCAATCCCTCCCTGAACCCCACAACCACGATCCCACAATAAAAGTTCATAGCCACGTAATTTGAGCGAGTGTTTTCAACTTACCTGTCCAGGGAAACGGCAATCAGACTGTAGACCGAGGCTGCCACGGAGACACCTTGTATGTAGGGCACAAACTTGCACATCAGCCATCCGAGCATCCAGGCTGCGAGTTCCAGCGGTTCGCGAACCATGAAAGGGGGAAAGAGTGTGGGAGGTGAGTATATATTGGTTATAAACAATGCTCAAATTATGCTGAGTAACTTTCGGTCGCATTGTCCTTGCTGGTGTCCTAGTAATACACTGAAGGAAACCTCAGGGCCTATGAAAACAAAATAATTGGCTTTTTGGAAATTCCCCAAAGACACTTTGCACCGAAAACTTTAAAGTGTCCTAACCACGAAAAACTAATCAAATTAATGTGGCTAACCGACCACAAGATCCTTATAGTTCTCTTGGGAAATATTCCAAATAGTAAAGGGCGTATCTCTTTAATTAACTGCTTAGCTTACAAAATAATGATAATAATATCAACCTAATACCAATACTAATAATTATAGGGGTATCACGAAAAAATGCAATTTAAATAAATTCCAAGCAAATGCTAAAGGATTCGAGCTTATAAATGTAATGAGCCTGAATAATATCTTCAATATCTCACATTTAATCTTAAATAGCTACAGCTTTACAGCTGGGAGATCATCCAATTTATACAAGCTAATGGAGTTCTTTATAGCTTTCCTGATTTTCCCCGAGTGCACTGGTAGTGGTTTTGTTTATGATGGTGATGATAGTGGTAGTGGTAGTGGTAGTGTAGTGGTAGTCACGGACAGTTGGGTTCGAGTTCTGGTTAGCGTTCAATGCTTCTTGTCATTGCCGCCGCCCACGTTCCCGTCGTTGTTTGCTGACTGAGATTTATGTGCTGCATATCATTCATAATTTGGTGACAAGTCTCAGATTGCGCCCTGCCATCGGAGTGGGTGGGGCAGAATGCGGTCCTGGGGTCCTGGGGGCAGAGCATTGTTTGCCCAGAGCCAGACCACGGTGGACCGCAGGACTGCCTAACTTAATTTGTATTCCTTTTACTCCATTTTGTGGCAGGAGATGGTAAATGGAATACACGGGCTCTACTTTCGCATAGCTGAGCGTTATGAATTTTATGCTAAGAGGCATAACTCACTCAGACACAAAAGGTTATAAAGCATACATGGGCGTGCAAATGGAGGGGGAGCTTCCCAAGGTTGATGACAGGGCGCCCGGTTCATGACATATCGAATGGCAATTAAACAAGTGCAAGTGCGGCCCACACATCATTAGCAGTTAGCTGTTTGGCAGAAGGAGTTCACGCAGTTCAATGCTCGACAAGGAGACGCCTCCTGCGTCATTGGGCTCCTAATTTCCTGTCTCGTTCGCCTGTCTTATCTCGATTTGTTGTCGCTTTTTATTATGCATACGCACCGTAAGCCGCCGAGGCAGCCCAATAAAAGCTAACTTTAATATGATTTGGCACATAAAAATATAAATATTATTGGCTCTGTGGCGCTTCGTGCAAGTGAACTCTGCGGCTTTGGACAGGTTCTGGACAGGATCATGTGTGTCTGCAGGGTTGCAGGGTGTGCAGGGAGGACATCCACATCCTCCCGCCTGGCAAACAATCAACAGTGTGTACACAGGACAGCAGCCCCAATGGGTTTTTCGGTTTTATTCCTCCGATTTGAAATGGCTTTCGGCAGACCTGCAAGTGCAACAGACTGGATCCGAGGCTATTAATGCGAGTGTATTTGGCCACTCACTTGATATTATGCTGATAAGGGTGAACTTTGATATATGGGTGTCTGCGGGAGCTCTTGACTCGGCAAACTTTATGCTTTCAAGTTGCTTGAAAACAATTTAAATTCAAATTCGGTTCCGAAATGCTTCATCACTTGCGGGCCACCGGATTAGCAGTGCCACAGGATGAACTTTTTCAAAATTACACGTTCCCCAACTTCCCTTGGGCAAATAAACTATCTAATTGTGTATGCAATTCTATTAGGACAGACAAACGTGACTCGGATGGTTTGCCTGGGATTAAAGTTAACACCAGTGCACTTTGGCAGTCAAGTGTCCTAACCAAGTTTATATTGTGGTTAGCTTAGCGCAGTGAAGTGACTTCTCGATAATCCCAAACAAACAATGGCTTTTCAGTAAATATGGAAAGTATTTTGACAGGCTGAAGCGTTCAACACGGTTCAACTTATTAAATTGTCCAACACACTAAGGGAAAACCACATTTTCCAAATAACGAGAAAAGTTGACATTTAACATTTGTTTTTGTTTACTTAAAACGACTGAGAAGGAATAGTAAATATTTAATGAGCCGCAAAAACCGCATTATACATAGAAAAAAATAAATATTATAGGTCAAGGGTTAGCAAATATGCCAGCAGTTATTTTTAGATACCACAAGCTTAGGCAATATATGATTATTTCTAAGAATAACCAGTCATACGAAACCAATCTGTTATTAACCCCAACCGTTGGCTACATTAATGTGTTGCACAAACATAATTGTAGCTACCGAAATAACCCTAATTGACTTGCGTGACGGGGCAAACCAAAATCTCCTTGTGGCATTACCCATTTGAGGCCTCAAGTGAAACCAAACACTCCACAGTTTGCTCTGCAAACATCCAGCCATCCCGCCAAGGTGAAAATGGGATGGGCGTTTGATCCGACTTGGAGTGTGTTTGACATGGCAACATATGGCAAACAGACGCCTCCATTTATACGCGAAAGCTGGTGCTCAATATTGATCAACTAGAGGAGATAATACCAATCGATACTCAGGCTTATCGGCAGCCTTCGATTGTGGGTGGTGGGTTGTGGTTGTGGGTTGAGGGTGGTGGTAGTGGGTAGTGGGTAGTGAGGGTGTGCGCCCCATCAGCCCTTAAGAAATGTCAAGTGCGCCCTAAGCCTTTTATTTTTTAGCCTCTTACCCTCCTTTCAGCGAGAACCTTTGTTTTTTGGTTGTGACACAGACAACAGTACGGGTGGTATTTTAAAAAATGTGATTAAATTTAAAATAATTATATTGTTTCTTGTTTTTCCTTTGAAAAGCATTTTGGCTTCCTATTGTTTATATTTAATGGTTAACTATTACTTGCTCAATTACAAATTTAGGACGCGGTCAGAAACAATATGTTCAAAAATAAACCCCCTTAAAAGCTCCACTTTAATGTCTTTTTTATGAGGCCTTGATAGGTTCAACGAAGTTTCGCTACGTTCCTATCTCCCAATCCGTGATTGTGCCCTCTGTGTAGGCGAAGTGGATTGGATTATTTCTGGCATGGCGGATTCGTTTCGGTGGCGGGATTGTCAGGCACGGAGTTGGATCGTAAAGTTAATGAAATAATCAGGCGTCACAAATCCGCAGGTTCGGAATCGGGAATGGGCGTGGAGTGGAGTGGAATGGAGTGGAGTGGCCATGGAGAAGGCATAACATAACACTTCTGGCAAATGCGTTATTGTTATGATTATCGCCGCGGCGTCACGTCCTGCGGCGACTTCTGTGGCAGCTCTACGGGACAATTGAATACCACAGCTAGTTCGCAGAGAAATGCGCGTGGAACTCGGGGTGGGAATAGCAATTGGAATCTGAATCGGGGAACCTCGAGGTGAGATATGGGATTGCGGGAGCCAAGAGGCTGCAGATCTTAGGTGCAGGGGTCAGAGGTTAGACGCCATTTGTCTGCGGCACGTAGAGACTAAATTAAAATACAATTGGCGAGCTGAAAAATGACTTCATCTGGGATAGGGCAACAGAAATGCGGGAGAGTCTGCCTCCGAGTTACGCATACGCCGCGTTCGCCCAGCACAAATCACGTGGCCCCTTAATGAACAAACTGGCAACGTGACTGCAAGATTTACCCAACGGGGAGATGCGGATCTAAAAAGGGCCGTAATGATAACGATTTCCCATTGATAAAATAGCACAACAATGGCCATAAAGCGCCATCTGAGACAATTGCCTTTGCCGTTGCTGTTGCTGTTGCAAGGATATCCTTCGTCTCAAGGCGGCATCGTTGCTGGGAAATCAATTCATTTCGCATTTTATTGGATTTCGAAGCACACACATAAATAAGGGCCAGCGCCACATTCCAACCACCACCCACAAGCCACCAGCCGGAAAGCACCCACAAAGAGTACAGGCCCAGCCCAATACAGGTGCCCCACCCCACCCCACCCCACGCACACACACCCACTGGCAACTCGCAAGTGTGTGTGGGTATAACCCTGACTATTAGGTTTGCCAAGCGAAATATTTAGGTCAATTCATCCAGCCGCAAAGAGCCTTGAATGCAAACAACCTTCCATTGCAATTCTGAGGCTTGAAGGTGTGCTTAGATAATGGCGCTGCCAGCGGCGATGGCCACCGTTGGCGGCGCTGCCAGCTGCGGCTGCGACTGCGGCGGCGGCGGCGGCGGCGGCGGCAGCGGCGGCAGCGGCGACGTCGTCTTTGACGGCTCGAATTTGATTTTATATAATTCATTTTGGTGGCAAAACACGGCGGCCATTCCACATCCCGCCCACTTGCCACTCGCACGGCGCGGGTAGAGGGAACTATCAGACAGCAATGTGAAATGCTCGATGTGCAAGTATGCCAAACTTCCCAACTCCCACGCACTGTGCTACACATAGAGAAAAGGTTGTGGCATAGGACAGTAGTAATGTCATGATGGAGATCACAGTGCACAGTACACATTTTGATAGCGTATCATTAACTGACAAAATAAAAGATCATTTATATATAAAGCCAAAAAATGTATGTTCCTGAAAACATGTGGTTTGTTAATCAAGAACGAAAATGATGCGTGAAACTTAAGTTTGTAAATAATATGATATATATGCAAATAGTTGGCAACACATGTTTTTTCCGCTGCATTAGGGCTATTTCACCGAACCCTTTGCCTTCGTTTAACTTCAGCAGGTTGTCGAAAGTTAATAGGAATGTGAGTGGGGTTCAGAGTAGAAGGGGCGAGCATTTGCCACCCCAAAAGCCC